TAAGTTTCCATTTTCCTCTTGAATTGGCAACTGAAACTTTGCTGAGAAAATTTAACTTTCTCTTTCAAACTCCATGGTCTATGTTGCTATGTATATAACTCTTTTCTACCTTGCTGATGACTGCTAGCAATTTAAAATTATTTGACTAATGCTGTTTGCTGTGACACTAGGTCGGGCCAGCGGCTTGGCTTTCCTTGATATTATATCCAGTGGGAAGAGTCATTACATATTTATCAATGGGAATGTTTATAGTACTTGATCTGAAAGGGAGAAAATGAAGGAAATCATATCCTCCATTTTCTCTGTTTCACTTTTTGTTTACAATTGCTTGTAAGTGTTAAGTTTGAATTGACTGCTTTCTGAATGCTTTGCATGTTTTCTCTTTAAATTAGTGAACCTTATGTTACTTGATTTTGTTTGGAAGGTCAGCAATTTCCCCCTTCGATGCACCCTTTTTTCCATCATTAGAACTTTTTGTATCAATTATATGTAACAATGTCAATATCATAGCATGCAGATTTTTTTTTTTAATTGCAATTACTCCATTTTCGTGCAATATTATCCACATTTTATGTGAAGACATCATTTCCTTTTTTATTTTTGTAATCAATTGAAGTGAAGAAGACCCTGTTTCAGCAAACTGATTTGTTGTTTTAGTAGTTATTGTCTAGGGGAAAAGAAGATGGAAAAAATAGAATGCTTCAATTATCTATACAGTAAAATTTAGAAAATTGGTTTTGCAGATTCAATGTTAGTGTGGAATCTTCGTAGAGAGTTCCAGATCAGAAAGGTTCACATGGCTGTTGTTCTTAATGGATATGGCAGAACTGTTGGGGTATGTGCAAAGCCTCATATTGAAACTCTACTTAAACAGAATCATTCATTGTGTTGAGATTTTTTATTATGATAAAGTTCCAACTTCTGCCTTTTTATTTATTTTTATTTTGTGACGCATGTCAACTTATGCTAACTTGTAATATCTTGAAACAATACGAGACAACATTTTTGATATTTTGAACTTTATTCTACAGTTAGATGCTAACAATGCTTCCCCTGCTAAGAGGCTAAAAAACTAAACAAAATTTTTTCAATTGCAGCTAAAAGTCCTAAAGACAAAACCTTATTCTTTATTAGCTTGTTCTTTTTGCCCACTTGAAGTAGTATTTGTTCATTGTTTGTTGGTATCCAAATGCCATAACATAAACTGTATAAAACGAATGATGGTAAAAAGTCAAACAGGATAATATGCTGACCACTTAAAATCTAAATGATTGGTATGACCCCTCAATCCTTAACTCATGAGCTCCTAGCATTAGGATGTTATTCAAATCTTACAACTTCAGAAGGTTTGGCTAACATTACTATCAGGTTCAACATGGTAAAGGAGACAGAGGAGTTCCCTGCAGTTGAAACTAGAATGCTCTCTCATATGATTTGAAATAATTTTTCTTCTAAAGTTCAGACGAGTGGAATATGCAGCATGAGAACACAAAAAGTCTAGAACTTACCATGCATGGGTTTTCTTTCTCTTTTGGATTGCTTATTTAACAGTATTTGTGCTCATTTTATTGACTGATTGATTTTATATATTTATGTACTCATTTTTTGATGGAGCAGATAGTAACCTTAGAAGGTGTGGTTGAGGAGATTGTTGGAGACATCTTTGATGAAAATGATTCAAAGGTAAGCCTAATTACCTCATTAATGACCTTAATGTTCTGTTACTGAATCTGTTATTGGGGGCAAGTCTTTTAACTATATAGATAAGTTTAGATATTGGATTCTACTATTCCTCAGCAAGGGGATGCTAAGAAAACTTGTTGATGAAGTCCAAAACAAATTGGTGTTATACATGTGCTGCTAATTTTCTATAGACCAATTGATCTAGATGCTGCTTTATGTCGCCGGTTTCTCGTCTCATTTAGGTTGGCATGTACTTTTTCTGTATTTTCCATGTGACCAAGGAATTTCATGTCACTTCTCACGTCATGTAGATGTAGATATTTCTTTACTCTATAGGTCTCATATCAATTAGTGTTACAAGGTTCACCTCTACTTGATTCTTAAGTGATTCATTTATACATATGTATAATGATTCTCAAGTGATTCTTATTTTATGCATTGCTGCTAATTGTATTAACAGGAGGAGATCCAGAAGAAAACTGGCTATATTGTAATGAGAGCAGAGGGAGTAT